GTATTCAATTAAACTGAGCGACTTTTGCTGTAGCCAAACCGAAAGCCACACAAATCAGCAAAGCATAAATTCTACACGGGAAAGGTGCAGCATTTGGCACTGGCAATTTCGCATTGTTGTCAACTAAAGTTAGTTAAGTTAGCTGGAGAACAGCTAACTTTCTTAGAGGCCACACATTTGAGAGCTAAAACTAATCTTGGGCCGTCATAAACGTCGCCTTCAGTGTTTGCCAAGCTGACAAAAGTTTGAAAGTCAAAATTTGATTTGGCTGGGCAAACAGCAAGTGGCTTTGGCCGTGGGCCATGTTTACTGACTGAGCCTAACCTGGCTGAGCTGCTGCGACTCGGGCGCTATTTAAAGCCAAAGCACTTTAAAAACATAAATTTCCACATAGAATTTGTTGTTGGTCTGCTGTCAATTTGTGCAGCCCCCAGAAAGTTGTTGCGCACCGTTGAACTTCAGACAAAAAGGACGCGAAAACTTTCCACTTGGCAACGGTCCCCAGAGAGCGAGAGGCAGAAACGGGGAGAGGGAGAGACAGACACACTCCCATAAAGAGATACAAAAGAGGCAGAGCTGTGCTGCTGCCTTCTCTGTAGTTGTGTCTGTGTCATAGGCCGAGCAACACGGCGTATACGTAATTCGGCTGGGTAAGTTTTGTATTCGTGCCCTTCCGTTAGGCAGCTAGGAAAATCGAAATGTTCTCAGATCGGCAGCTGAAACCCTTAAAAACAAAGCATCAAGTATTTTTATCTTTTGCCAAAATAATGACTTTGCATTTCGCCGGCCAAATGATGCGCAAACTAAAAGCCTTTCAGGCCTCTTCTCCCCTTCGCTCCTTCTCCAATTATGGCTGTGAGCTCTGGCACTTGGGACAACTCGTTGTCTGTCACTTTATCAACCTCGGCGAAGGGTTTATGTGTCGCCATTTGTCATGCCAGTGCTCCGGCCCACAACAATGCCGGAATGCCCGAAAATTGTGCTGTAGCCGTCGAGTGGATTGTACAGCAGAAGCAGGAGCATCGAAAATTCCAGGCAAAAACTTGCAATGCATTTTCGCACGCCCAACGCATTCACAGCTCTGACTGAAAGTTTTTGTCGCCAATGCGAGGTCTTAAAACTGTCTTGACAGCGGCAATGCAATCTGTTGTTGTTCGGTCTATTGCGGAAGCTGTGAAATGTGGAAATTCACGCATTACTTACAATTGAAGCGGCAGGAGCAGCAGGAGCAGCAGCAGCAGCAGCAGCAGCAGCAGGAGGAGGAGGAGAAAGGTTCTTTCAAGTGCAGTCAGTTGTTCTTGGCTTTTATTCTACTCTGATTGGAAATCACACAAGGCAACAACAATGCAATTTACAGGGTATCTCTCAGTTTAGCATTGTTCACTTGACACCCACTCACTTGTCTTGCCGCCTGCTGCTGACTGGCAAAATGCAAGCACGACAACAAGATAAGAGCCCCAGACTTAAATGAAGTCTTAACTCTTTTGTGTTGCATAGTTTGGGGCGCAGCAAAGTTTCCTAACTGAATGAACCTAACCGGCGTATTAGTGTGCATCTCAATTATAGTTGAATCTAATTAGATGAGTCTGTTGTGCCAAGAGAGATTACAGAGACGAAGACGAAAGAGCTGCAAGTACATGTTGATTGAGTTGTGAACCGAGGAAGTTTCTTTGGCGTTGCATTGAATTGAATAGGAATGACTCTTTAAATTGAAAATAAATATAAAATAAAATATATTATCATTGAAAGTTGCTATTTAATAATGATAAAAACAAACTAATATTATTCAAACAAAATAGCTATACAAACATAAATATATGATATGGGATGATGGGGCTTCCAGAAAGGCAACTTTAAACAGCAAAGCCAAAGCCATTTATGCACATATAATATGTATGTGTGCAGTTCTGATGAATAACTGCAAAATCCAATTATAAACTCATACAGGCTTTACAGAATCGTGCCATGTGACAAATTACGAGCTGACACTGCTGTGTGTGTGTGTGTGTGGTAACACCCCGCCTCGTGACCTGAATCTGCATACAGTGGAGAAGCAGATTGGAACGCACGGAATGAGATTCACTCTTTGCCAGAATGGGCTCTCCACAGTTCACCTGCCAATCGGAGAATATTCTTTGCATTACTTTTAATTTTCCTTAAATGTAAAACTAGCTAAGGCTTAAAGCTAAATAAATTAAATAAATAAATAAAAAATAAAATAAAAATAATAAAAGATAAACACATAACACTAATCCATTGTTCAGATTAGGATCGCATATATAATGCATTCCCCATGGAATTTCCTTGATTTATAATGCTCCAGCCCGATGGCAACATAATATATTTTAAATAGACTCTCTCCGAATGCATTTAATGACAGTTATTTTTTGCGTGCCATGCATTTTTTTGCCAGCTCTGAAGTATTTTTGCATAATTGTTAAATATTTACCGGATACAGGCATAAAGGGTGTCCTCATTCAGTTATTTGACTTTTTATGCGGGGCATAATAAATAAAATGTGACACTCATTTGCATATAGTATGCGTATTGCTCTAGTTAGGGCACTTTCCTCTGTCTCGCAGTCACCTTTGATTAGATCTTTGCCAGCTGACGCCCTAAAGAGGAGGGGCTACAAGAGGGCGGACATCGTGTTGCGTCCTGGCAAAAGTCAAATGTCAGTTGAAGTGGCAAATTTACTATTTACATATGCAGTTGAGTTTTCTTTTTCTGCTCACATTTGACTTTATGATAATGACACCCTGTGTGCCGTGCCTCTCGATGGGCAGGTGGCCGAGTGGGTGGGTGAATGGGCGTGCCGGAATAAGAGCAGACCATTGGTCGGAGTGAATCACACAGGCACATACGAATAACACACGCACACGCAGAGCAAACTCCCAAATGGGAAAAGTAGCAAAACAAAAAGTTGAAAAACTGAAAAAAGAAAGAGGAAGAACGAGGGCTCACTCTATTGAGAAAGTGTTCGATTAGCAGATACTCTATAGGGAAAAGAAAATAGTTTACATACTTATGTTTATGCTAGGCAAAAAAATATTTCCATTTAGCTAGATACATTTATAATAAATTTGACATTTTTTATTATGACCGAAGATCAAAGATACATCAATATCTAAATAAATAAATATCTACGCATTCCAAGATCTCACTAAGGCTTTTTTTATTAATACATTGATCGGAAAATACATTTATTCTGTATTATCAATAATCTAAGTGTATATTTTAATTTATCATTATATTAATATTTCAAAATATGAATATATCAATATATCAGTACATATAAATATATTTGAATATTCCTATATATCAATTACTTATCAAGATTTTAATACCTTAATAAATATATACTTATAATATATTGACATCATAACATGTTAACTAGTTTCATAGGCCCATTCCTAAAAATGATTACAGGGTACCGTAGAGCAGCACACAAAAAGTTGCACAAAAACATAGCGGCACATCAACATTGTGGCAAAAAGCGTGGCATATAGCAGGAATAAGCAACGAAGGCAAAACAAAAAACAGAAACAAAACACACCAAAATAAAAACAACAAAAAATATAGCTAGTTAGCTGCTTAGGTATATGAGTTATGCTAAGGACAAACGGAATGGCAAAGATACCAGAAAAATGCTTCATTGATATTTTTATGGCGAAATTTTTTATATGGTTTTTGGTTTGAGCATTGTGTAGCTATTTATGGCTGTCAAAAGGTATGGCAAATTCTGTGTGTGTGTGTGTCTGTGTGTGTGTGCTTTAGTAAAGTTGGTGCGTGCAAACGTCCCAATAGATGATGATGCCATTGCCTTAGCAACTTCACAGCAATGGCTGCTGCTGTCGGCGCTGTTCCTCTGACTCTGCTGCTGCTGTGATGTGGCTTTGTGGTGCTACATATATATATATAAGAATATATATGTGTGTGTCTGTGGGTGCGCTGACTGTCGGCTTTGCCAGTCCGCTTTGTTTATTTGCGAAAAAAACTCTGCAGCCAAGCAGACATCAGCTGTTGTATTGTCATGGCTCTCCCTTGGTTTGTTCTCTCTCACTCTTGCTCTCTCTCAGCTCTCAGCTCTTGAAGCATAGGCGCCGTGAAGCAATATCTAATAAAGTTGAACCAAAACTAACTGCAAAATAATTTAATCGCATATAAATTAAAATTAAATTATTGGCCTTTAAATTAATAATTATTAATATTAAAGTAATTTCTTTTTGAGAATATATT